AAGGGACTAGTTGGATGTATCAACTAAGGCAAAAAGACGTCAACGACTAACACAGAAGTTATGAATATAAAATTTTGAAATAGAAGAAAATTTTATTTATTTATTTTTTGCTAAACTGAAAAAAAATAAAATAGAAAAAAAAATAAAAAAGATAAAAATGTGATCCAAGAGCAACTTTTTTTTTTTCTTCCGTAGTTCAAAGTACAGATACAGAGGCTAAAATGATGCACTTATCACATCAAACCGTTACTGATCTTTATCGCGCAATCAGTTTAGTGGTCTGATAAATGACGTTAGACGATAAAAATTATTGTTAAAATTTTCGAAAACAACAAAGCCAAAAAGATCTGTCTTATCAGTTAGAAACTAATTATGTCAATTAAACAAAAATATACAATATCAAAAAGATTAATGTAAAGGCCAAAAACAATGATGATGCATTTGTCTTGATTACAGACACTATTTTTTAATTGAGGAGACAATTTCTCCCCTAAATATGCTTTTATGGAGACCGGACTTCTACTCTTATTTACTGTAAGCAACCGTAGCCGCCGATGCTTACAGTACCAACGTTTCAGAGGACTAAATAGAAGTGTTGGTACTAAACTGGTAATCGTTTGTGTGGACTAATTTCTTAAATTATAACTCTTTATTACTCAAAACTCTTTAAGTATATTACAACTCGTCGTGTATTTGAGACAATGATATTACAATGAGAAGACTTTTTTGACACAGGTCAGGAGTCTCACTTAATTAATAAGGAGTTAAAATGGATTAGAACTATACAGTGGAGATTGAACAATTAACTTACAAACAAAATTTCAAACAATAACTTGAAAAGCTGCCAATCGGCACGTTTAAAATTAAAAAGGTTTGAAAGAACAGAGAAAATCGTTATAAAAGTTGAAAGACTACAAAGAGTCAATAGCAGCCGTAGAAGTCTAAAGTTCCTACAACAATAAATTAAGATCGATGTACTTTGCTTAAATACCTGTCGGGAAGATAGTGACCAACTGTCTGCCCTTCAAAAGCGTCCTTTCAGGAGCAGATCAGAGATCACTATTTTACTCGGAGTGGTAGTCTTTCGCGTGCTGTCGCCACAGCATTGTTTCCGATTCGCTGACGAAGACGCTGTGTGTATCGGTCGAAAACTCTTCACACAGTGTTGCGATATCGACAAAATACTAAACAGCAGTGCAGCTGTTACTCTGTATAATTCCTTTCATCTACGGTATGAACACTGTCCACTGCAGATATAATTCGATGTAACGAAAAAGAGCCATTTGGTCAAAGACAAGAACATGGCGTAAAAAAAAACAATCCTTTCAATCTGGCGACCTCGCCAACAGTTAATCATTAACCTTTGCATAGAATATAAGTCATCTGCTTAGTGGGTCTAACAAACTAAAAACACTTGAGCAAAAAATGTAATGGATTGAAAAAAGTAAACATTAACTGAAAGGCAATAATTTAAGTGTTTTTTTTTTCTTACTTCTAAAAGCACTCAATATGTTTATCTGTTTCATTTCCGCATTTTATTCCTCGGAAACTGCTGCTGTTTGTCCAGGAATAATACCTAGCAAAAAAAAAGAAATACAACTGAATTTACGACATACACATCTATATGAGTTGTTTAGTTTCAGACGGAAATAATAAAAAAAATAAAAAAGACAAAAGAGGAATTAAAAGTAGAAGTGAACTTTTGAAAGTATCTTTTTTTAGAACTTTATTGATGCTAACGATTGATGGTTAAAGAGGATTTTGTGGCTAAAACTTTTCAGCTTTTTTTTTTTTTTTTTTTTTTTTTTTTTTTT